TTTTGAAGTGAAGTCCTTTCATTAAAATTTCTGTCAGGTGACGATGGAAATTTTGCTTAGTTTTCTAAAACTGGGCATTATTAAACTATATTTTATCAATAGATGCTGAACTGGTAAGAAGTAGGCCAGTGCATTAACAGCTGTAATTGCTGGGTCATGTAATTATGGCTCATTTGTTCTTTATGTATACTTTTCTTGCAATCTTTTTTTATAATATCTCAAAGGAGATATATTTTCTTAATCATTTTCTAGGAAAATCCTTAGACCAAGTACTCATAGAAATGGGATATGGCTTGCAACCCAAGAAACAAGGTGCAGATCAAAGTGAGTATACAGGCTAATATTTAACAGGATAGTGACTTTAGTTACTGAAGAATATCCTCCTTATGGATTTCAAACAAACAAACAAAGAACTATCTCATTCTCAGACTTAATGGTAATGGTGACTGTTTGTAGATTTTATATAAGAAGGGTATGTTTGTTTTTTTCTTTTGGTAATACGTGATTTCTAATACTAACTTTCTCTGGCTATCTCCCAACTAAACTAATACTCAGCATGTTAAGTTACTGGAGATTATAAAGTACTAAACATCATGACACTTTATGTCAAGGGCTTTTCAGCTAACTATTCCTTGGTGGAATTGGTTTTTCTACTTGAGTATTCCAGAGTTAGGAAGCAACAGTAAGTAGGCTCATAAACTTCTGTTGTAGTAGGATAGTGTTTCTTCTTGCTCAGTTCTTGTGGTTTTCCGTTATATTGATAGAAGAGAACCAAGAAGTTTTGCTCTCAGCCTTTGATTTCTCTCTTTGCCAAGTCTTCTATGTTATCTGTAGTCTGCTTTCTCCTTTGTAGCTATTTTAAAGGTAGACATAACTCATTGTCTCTTGCTTATTCACCAAGAGGTGATTGCCTGATAAATGGTGCCATAATTGATCGGTGCATCTGGTCCCATAAATTACTTCTCCCTCACCTCCCATCCCTTGACTTATCTAATTGGTTGCCAAGTGTTTATTGAGTCTTGTTCCCAATATCCTTTGCCTCTCTTTCTTTCTTTCTTTCCCTTACTATCCTTCCTTAGTTCAGGAGTCTTCGTTATCCGTGGACAATTGCAACAGCGGTCTGATGCTGTTATCTTTTGTCTCCTGCCTGTATCCTACAGCACTGTCTATATGGTATCTCTGAAACCACATCTTGGCTTGACAACTAGAGGAGAAAATTCAACTCTTAATTACCTAGTGGCAGTGTGACTGAACCCATACGTGTTGTTGGTGTCTTAGGGAAAGTGTAGAGTGAGGACAAAGTGAAGGAGCTAAGTTTGGGGCTTCCCATTGCCACACCCTTCACCCCCTCTTCTGCCCTCCAGCTGCTCTCATGCAAGCCCCCGTGTGATCATGGTTGCACACCAGCTCTGTGGGCCTCCTGTCACCCGTAACATGGATCATATTGTAGCTCCTGATTTGAGCATCTTTTGGGTCCTGCAAGATTTACAACTGCTCAGAGCAAGGATCATGAGTTTTCATTGGCCCTCATCTCCGCATTGCCTAGTGTGATATCCCCCATACAACCAGCGTTCAATATATAATTAGAACCAAAAAGCATCCTTGGAGGAGCTTGGGATGGACTCATACAGCGGAAAGGGACTGCCAGGATCATCCGCTCCCCTTCTTTTATGCATGAAACAGTAGGAGCTGACAGGTACCATGGGGACCTGTGGACCTAGGTCCCCTTACTCCAGTTCAGTACCCTTTCCAGCACACCATGCATCCTTTACTGTGAGATGACAGGGTGATGGTTAATTTTTCTTAAAATTATCAACGTATGTATCTTGATTTTCTAAAATACTTTTCAAAATATTTTTAGGTTTTAGTTTATCTCTTAGCTTTACCTTTT